GGTCCTGCTCTCCGAGGGCAGCAGCCGGACTGCGGTCCCGGCGTAGGCACGCGGGGCGGGATGCCGGGGATCTTCCGCTTTGGCATCCCTTGTTAAATGTAGGGTAACACCCAAGGCAAGCACAGAGCGCGCTGCGTACCTTATGTTAAGATTAGAATAAAGGAAAATAAGAACATGGGATGAACAAGAGGAGCCTGATGGCAACGTTTCACCACTTGTGTTGCATTTTTTAAACACTAGTATTTGTGCCCTGCCAAGCCCTGAGAAGGGCTGGCTTCCCAAGTGAACAAAAACCTCTTGCCAGTGTGTGGAGAGGGTGATCTGCTCCGGCTTACTAATAGTTATTTGGAAGTACCCAGCAATTGTGGATAATTGGCTGAGGAATATTCTTGCAGCTCTCAACCATTTTTCCGTTTTCACAGATGATTGTGCCATTAGGTATGGTGAATGCACTAAGCTGTGCTGCAACTTTTCCATTTACCGGGCTCAACTTCCAGTTGGCGCTCCTTTCTTCTGTGCCTTTCTGTGCCACTGGAGTGGGACAGCCGAGCTCACCAGCTAGCGCTCCGGTCTCCTCCTGCCCACACTCTTCCTCTTCCCTGCTCCTTCTCTCTCGAGATGATGTTTGGGTCTACTGGGATGGCTGTGCTGATCAGATTGATGTCTGTGCTTTGTATCATCATTGTTATGTAGCATTAAAAGCACTGAATCACAGGAATGGCAGCCTGCTCTTTACCTTGTGTTTCCTCTGCTTTTATTCTTACTCTTTTCCTTCCTTTACTTGGCTTTTTGTTTTCACTCTCCCTACACTTACAATCTTCCCTCTCTTCATCTCTGAGTTGTTTTCTTTCTTTAATTTATATTCCACACATTTTTCTCTTATCTTTGTCTTTCTGTCCCTGATTTATTTTTTCCCTATTTCATTTTTTCTCCAACTCTTTTTTGTTTTCCTCCAAAACACAGAATGCTTTAGATGGAAATAGTGAGATACATCTATTCAAGATTCACATATGTACTGAGGTACAGAGCAAGATTAAGTAAACCCTGTAGCATCAATTTTGTCTTCCATTCAAGCCAGATTTGCAGTAAGACTTGGGTAAAAGAATGTGATAAAATCAAATCACCTCTTAGCCTCATATTCTGAGGCTGATTGGAACCTTACACAGTGGCTGGGATGATTCAGAGAAAGTTAATGTAATTTGCTGTGTATCACCCCCAGAAACTGTATTTGTCAGCTTCATATAGCAGCGTCAAATGTTCAAGGAAAATGCCTGCCTTAATATTGCTGCCAGGAGTTAGGAGTCAGGAGTATAAAGTCATTATGTTGTGGGATCTGCTGATTTTCTGGGGATTTTCCACTAACGGAAGTTCTGTAATTGTACAAAGAACCAAGCCAATAAAAATGAATATTTATTTTTTGTGTAATAATAATGGCAGAAGTTCGTGTTTCTCCATTTGCCAGTTATATGAAAGAGTTGCCTACAAGTATGTTTTCTTCCTGTGTGTCATAGTGATCACAGAGACACATGAAGATGCTTCCTGAAATAGGTGATTTTGTAAGACTTTTTTTTCTGGTTCTTTCCCTGAAATTGCTGTGGTATTAGCTTTCTTGGCTTTGCAAAATCTTGTAATGCCAAATACTCAGCAGCCGATGAACTTCAGCCTACTGTTTCTGTGTTGTGCATTACGTAAGTTATTTCTTCCATTTGATCTTGCAGCTCTATAAATTCCATTTCCGTCAATCTGATTATTGTGAATCTGAAGTGTACGAGTGATTTGTATTAATCAGAAATATTTTGGGGTTCAGACTTTTGTTAAGTTTTCTGTTGGAAAAAATGTATCAATTGGGTGTGTCACCTGAGAAGAATACGGGTTCTTGCCAGAGTTGCATTTCTTGCCAACTGCGTCCTGTCACTTTTATTTTATGCTTCAAGAGCAAGACCTAAATAATCACTCTTTTTTGTGTTAGAAAAGGAATTAACTTCCAATTAGATCCCTCCTTCCTCTGGGATCTACCTGTATATCCCAAAATGGAGGACAAAAGTGACCTCGTGTCATTTTGAGTGCCACGTATATACAGCCTGCTCACCTCAACCCATTCAGAGACCAATTCTTGTATGTATTAATCATATTTTCTTCTGGCTTCTTACAGAACAGAAAAATATTCAGTTCCAAATGTTAAAATGGGGCACATTTTATTAACATTGAAAGCAGTAAATTATCTCTGCTTATGAAATGAGACTGAGCAATTTCTGCTGAACTCTTCCTGACTTGCCCCTTCACTCGGATACAGTGTTTTCTAATTTCTCAGAGGGCCCTGGTTCCATTAAGGGCGAGAACTGTTTTAAAGCTGTAATGAAAGCCATACGTCGCTGAAATTCAAGGAGGGGAAATGCCCTAAATTCTATTTCAGTAGCTCATCTAGAGCTATTTTCAGTTTTATGTTTATAAGAATGTCAATTAACCTAGAGACTAGAACACACATGGAAGAATAACGATGAAGTGGATATCATTTTAACACACTGAAGCCAGCTAGTTGGACCTAATCCTTCTTTACAGAAGCTTGATTTACATAAAAAGCTGGCCTGTGTTGCTTAATTTAGTTCTCAAACAGCTTGGTGATTTAAATGCTCTTTCTTTTCAATGTCGTGGGACAGCAGTGGTAAAAGGTGCAGAAATATTAAAACGAAAAAAATAAAAGGAAGAAATAAATATGCTGGAAGCACACTACCATCATCTTGATTTCTCTGGCACCTTTCAGAACTGATGATCACTTCAGCATGTATTTCTTGCTAACAATAATAATAGTAATAATAACAATATCCTTAATCATAGTGTAACTCGGCAATTTGGTATCAGTTGTGTCACTTTATCTAGCTTATGCTGAACTTGGAGATCCAAGCAAGCCAGATATTCAGCAAGTTGTTTTCTCTTACAAAAAGAACTCAATATCAGACCTGCAATGCTACTTTTACAAGTATCGGAAGTGACCCTGTCAAGGTTAAAAAGGGTAATACCTGCTACAGGTCTTTCTAATTTAAATGCAGAGCAGTGTTCTTATCTGGAGAAAAAACAAGGAAAAAAAAAAGAATATGAAATCTGCCTTCATTGGACAAAAGGTCAAGTCTCACCAACTCTTTTTATGAGATCTTTTATAGTAAATATAAGATGATAAGTCATCACCTAGTAATGGTTGAGGCTTTTTTGTTTGTGATCAGAGTTAAACCCAGTTGGTGGCCAGTTACAAGCGGTGTTATCCAGGAGGCAGTACTGGGGCCGGTCTTGTTCAATATCTTTATCAATGATCTGGATGAGGGGATCGAGTGCTCCCTCAGTAAGTTTGCAGATGACACTGAGTTGGGTGGGAGTGTTGATCTGCGGAAGGGTGGGAGGGCTCTGCAGAGGGATCTGGACAGGCTGGATCGATGGGCAGAGGTCAACTGTATGAGGTTTAATAAGGCCAAGTGCAGGGTCCTGCACTTCGGCCACAGCAACCCCATGCAACGCTACAGGACTGGGGAGGAGTGGCTGGCGAGCTGCCCAGCAGAAAAGGACCTGGGGTTACTGTTTGACAAACAGCTGAACATGAGCCGGCAGTGTGCCCAGGTGGCCAAGAAGGCCAACAACATCCTGGCCTGTATCAGCAATAGTGTGGCCAGCAGGAGTGGGGAAGTGATCGTGCCCCTGTACTCGGCACTGGTGAGGCCGCCCCTCGGATACTGTGTTCAGTTTTGGGCCCCTCACTACAAGAAAGGCATTGAGGTGCTGGAGTCTCCAGAGAAGGGCATCAAAGCTAGAGAACAAGTCTTATGAGGAGCGGCTGAGGGAACTGGTGGTTAACTTAGGCTGGAGGAGGCTGAGGGGAGACCTTATCACTCTCTACAACTACCTGAAAGGGGGTTGTGGTGAGGTGGGTGTTGGTCTCTTCTCCCAAGTAACTAGTGATAGGACGAGAGGAAATGGCCTGAAGTTGCACCAGGAGAGGCTTAGACTAGATATTGGAAACATTTCTTTACTGAGAGAGTGGTCAAGCATTGGAATAGGCTGCCCAGGAAGGTAGTGGAGTCACCATCACTGGAAGGGTTCAAAAAATGTGGGGACGTGGCACTTCAGGACGTGGTTTAGGGGGCATGGTGGTGTTGGGTTGACAGTTGGACTTGATGATCTTAAAGGTCTTTTCCAACCTTAATGTTTCTGTGATTCTGTGTTGTTTAATATTATATGTGTCTGCATGTATTTTTTTCCTCCCATTTACCATGTCATCACTTCCACTAATTTATTTCTTCTTTCCCTCATTTATTGCATTAGTGCTACGGGATGACTTTCGCCAAAACCCTACAGATGTTGTGGTGGCAGCTGGAGAGCCTGCCATATTGGAGTGCCAGCCACCTCGTGGACACCCTGAGCCTACCATCTACTGGAAGAAAGATAAAGTCCGTATTGATGACAGGGAAGAGCGAATCAGTGTGAGTACAACTCAGGTGGTTGTCTATAGACACAGGGCCTGCACTAAAGCCCCGCAGCTGAGAGCAGCAGAACTTTACAGCTTTATAGCCTTTCCCATAGAAACTCGTCATTACTCTTGGCAGCTGGCCTCTCTGAGTTTTCCCAAATGAGGGGAGGAAAGTTGTTTATTGCTTCCAGTTTGGGTCTCCAACTTGGACTTCTTGAGGCTTGATTTGTATAACCAGTGTAACGGGGGTCCGTTATATCTGTAGATTTGGTTATATAAGATGCTCTGTTATATGGGGAACTCGGCAGATATCTTTGACCGATCTGGCCTTAGCTTTTCTAGATCTGATTTAAAAGAAATGAGATCTCCGTTCTATGAAATGAACTCATGAATCAGAAGATTCTAATGAATGAGCTAATGAACCAGAGCTCGTATCAGAGAGGTGTTTTAAAGATACAATCAGTCATATCTATGAGGTGAACAAATACTCCATGGGAAAAAAAACAACAGTTTAGGATGATATTGGTAAAGTACTGAATGGAAGAGGATCCAGCAGAAATACCTTACTTATCAACCGATTAGAAGTTATATCATGGTATGTGGAAGCAAATGGGATAAATTAAGGGAGCGGGGACATATTTCATTCCTAAGTTTTAAATGCTTAGCTTTTCAGTATTAATGTTTCTTCAATAAAGTTTTCTGTTGTATGTAATGATATGTAACTCGTTCTGTGCCTTACTCAATATGGAAGTACTATCAGGAAGCTTGTTTGTTGCTTTGGGTGCCTAAGGAAGTATTGCAAGCTAAACAGTCTATATAGTTGCTCTTTGTGGGCCAGGCTGTCTGTGCTAGGGTCTACTCACGAGTAGAGGAAGGAACGAGTAGAGGAAGTAAGAGCGGCAGGAAACTGGTTATGATCCCCTGACTCTCAAGTTTCTTTGGCTATATTCCTACCTTATTCTGAAGCATCCCATTGTCTAACTTTTGACACTGTCTGTGACTTCACAAGCTGCAAACTTCTTATTTCTTTCAACTACCCTGCTCTTCCACTCTGCAAGCACCCTTTGGAGCCAGGAAAATGTTAAGTCTTATGGGAGTCAAGTGGTTTCTCAGTTTGGGCTAGATTCAGTCTGTTTGCATCAAGGAAAAGAGAAAATCTGCCTTAATGAGTGAACAAGGAAACTGTTCAGACACGAGTAAAATAAAAGGAGATGAACTAAGTAAAACTAAATAAAGTTGCCTTTTTCTTGAGAGAGATGTCAAGAGTGCTTTATATCTCATCATGCAAGAAATACGAGCCTCTGCATTGCCAAAGCAGCAGCAAGAAATGTAATCTTTGAAATGTAAAGCATCTAATGAAAACAGAAGAAAAAACTGAAATGCATTTAGAATCAGTCAATAGGATAAAATGTGTTCTAGAACAACTTTAAGATATTTATGTATATAGGATTATAATTTTAAAGCTATACATATATTTACAAACAAAACTTTTAAATCCCTTCATTGTGGAACTTGCTGCCTGTGAAGATAGATTTTTTCTGATATCTTTTGTTTTTCTGAAGTTAAAAATAAATTCCTTGTTTTGAAACAGATACGTGGTGGGAAGCTGATGATCTCTAATACAAGAAAAAGTGATGCCGGCATGTACACCTGCGTTGGAACCAACATGGTGGGGGAGCGAGACAGCGATCCAGCAGAGCTGACTGTCTTTGGTAAAGCAATCCAAGCTTTTGTTTCCTTTTCACTACAAATGTCATAGTCTTAATTGACCTGGGTAACTCATCAAATATAAGACAAAACAAGGTTAACAAAACACAGTAGTACTGCTTAAGCCGCATTTCACAGTTTTTGAAGACCAGGTTTCAAAGGCTGCAATTTATAATTATGGAGCTGTGATGGATCAACATTTTCCTTCTAAGTGCATAGTTTCAATCTAATTGGAGGTCCTCAGTGATATTCATACACTCGGAGACAGTAATGCAGGACATAATGCTCTCCATCACAAAATTTCCAAATGTCATTAAGCTACTTCTAATACAGATGACAATGCCTGCTTAACAGAGATTTGGACCAGCATTGCCTATTTAAATAATTCCTTATTCCTGTGGGGCTGTGAAATCAAACCTTTGTGAGAGAGCAGAAAAGATCTCAATTGATCAGTAAAAAGTAATTGGAGAAAATCCTGAGATTAACATTTTCGAATATATGGGGACACTTTTATCATTTGTTTTTTAAAGAGCATGAAGCAATTTTTCATCCTGTAAGTCACAGCATCATCTAGGTTTTTGGTGGTGCTGAATGAACAAAAAAAGAATAGGTTTCCAGTGTTAAAGAGCTTCCAGACCTGATGGGCAAGGCAAGAATTTGTTAGAAACATTTGTATTATGGTTAGGGTCTAGAGCAAGAATAGAGTAATATTGAACCTAGAGCTGGATCCATCCTGCTAACAACTGGGTAAGAAGCAAAGCCACAAAATCCTGCTGTGGTATTGTAGGAATTAGTCAAGAGGTCTTGAGCAAACAAAAGAAAATCAATAAGGAAAAAACTCCTCACTGCTAAAGAAAACACATACATGCATACAAAAAAGAAAGAAAGAAGAGAAATAGTGTTAATGTTACCGCCTGCTACATCACTTCGATATCCTTGATACAATACCAAAATTCCAAACAAGACTGCTTGTAATTCCAGTTAGACTTTTCATAGAAATACTAAGGTCCTTTCTGAAGCAGGTGCTCCTAATTTTTTCACCTTCTGGCTAATATGGTGGAAAACCCAGTCATAGATATTGCCATCTGTGTTTGCATGTGTGTGCAATTCAACATTTGTTTGTCCACTTAAAAAAAAAAACCACACATTATGGGATTCACAAAAGGCATAGAAAAGTTTCTGCTAGACATGATCCATGAGTGACTAAGGATTTGCTGCTTTCCAGCATTACAAGACTGTAAAGGTTTCCACTCTACTGTTGTGGATTCATGGAAGCATATGACTTTTAAAAACAGAACTAGTATACCTTGGAAAAAAACACAGAAAGGATCTCTATCAAATTATTATGTCCTTTGCAGCCAGTCTGTTGAAATTGTGCCTTTATACAGATATAAAAGAGACATGACATATCTTCTTAATCAGTTTAAGTACTGATAATCTCTGGTAATACTCCCTGTGGATAACAAGCAGATTGCAGTCCTAAACTACAAAGCCTCAAGAAATCCTTAAGAAAATAATTTGTTAAAAAGCATTGAACTGTAGGAATAAAAATCGAAATATGCATGTAATTTCATATCCTGCAGAGCTACGAAAGGTATTAGGTTTGTCTTCATATGTAAAATATTACATAGCCAAGTATAATATTCTGAAATTTTTACAGGATTTAATCATAGCAATCAACTCATAAAATACAATCTAGGCCGATTTTGTGAATACTGAACAAAATCAGCAATAATTTAAATTAGATATTTTAATTCTTCAGAATTGTGTTAGACAACCTAAAGAAAATTGTGTTTAAAATTCCTTTCCTATCTGGGTATCTTCCTGTCTAAAATTCCCCTTCTGTCTAGGTATTCCCTTCCTATCTTGGGTTTTGCTGTACAAGAATAGCACACAGGAAGCAGGTGCTTAGGTTATGATCTGCTGTTTGACAAGACAATTTGACTATCCTGTGCCCATTTCCTGGCTGCCTCCTGGCCCTGAAGCTCTGTGTTGGTGTATTGGGCTCACTGTATAGACGTGTCCAGGTTAGTCTTGGTCTGCTCCGTACAAAAGAAGGAGTCTTGGCTTTACTTTCCACCAGCAGAACAGTTGTATTCTGTTCCTGGACGCCAGGCGCAGCTCGTGTGTGGGTGGGTGCGTGCACAGTACACTGGAGAGCATTATCCATGATGTTTCCAGGAAGCAATGTGTCTACTGGACAGTCCAATCAGCCTAAGCATACACAATAAATCCAATAAATCCAGCAACTCTGGGAAACGTCAGATTGGCTGTGCCTGTTCAGATTGGCTTTGCTGAACACAGACAAAACCATAGGTCATCTGTTAAGTCCACAGCCTTCCTCTAATATGACTCACAGGTTTGAGGAACATGGGAATAATGCAAATTTTGAGAAAAACATGCTAGAGCTATCACAATACTTATATATTATTCATGTGCCCAACTATAACTGTTTTGAACATATTTCAAAATGGGCTTTATAATTAAAATGAAGACATCTTAGCTAAGAGACTTTGAGAATTTAATAAAGTGGCTGGCAAGCCTACAGCTGGTGCTGATTCTGGAGAGGAATGTGTATTAATTAGCTGATTATTAATGTCTCTATTCCTTTTCCAAATAACAAACCCCCAAGCCCTTTCCATAGTGTGAAGGGGCCCTTAGTAAACACACTACTCTGTAGGAAAAGGAACAGTTTCATAATAGTTCTCAAACCTTTCCAGGAATCAGCCACTCATTACTTTTGGCTTTGCAAGTTTGTCTGTAGTACCTGAAGTTAATTTCTGCATGTGACTCGTGACAGATCTCTGGCTCCCTGTACGGTGAATTTAGCTTGAGGCATTGCCTCTGGAAAAACTAAATCAGTGTGGTGGTAACTGGTGGCCTGAGGGGAACAACATGGAAGCCAAGCCTAAAAGATTACACCTTTCCTGAGTTTAAAAAAAAAAACCCTAAAGTAAAATAGGCCATAAGAACCTTGGAAAGAAGTAGGAGGAGAAAATGGAAGTTTCCCATACGCATAATGTATCCACTTGGCTGGGTACGTATTCAATAACCTTTGCTGAGAGATAGTCATGGATAATACATGTAGAACTTTCACAAAACAAGTAATTTTTTTTTTCAACCCCACTTGCCTAGGAAACCTAGTTTTCAGCATTTAGGCACTGCTAAGAGCATACTGTTAGTGTTGATGCAGGTTGCATTTCTTTTGTTCAGAAGTCATGATTCTTCTACTAGCAGAAAATTGCCAAACTTTCACAGTGAAATATCATAAAGCAAACTGATTATATAAGCAGTGCTTCCCAAAATTATTCCTGTGTTTTGAATAGTGAAAATGATGCGCTGCACTTTGTTAGTCTTCTTTTTCAAGTACTACTGCTAATTTTTGCCTTTATGAGGCTCCAAGGTGTAATCTTGGAGTAAAGCAAGAAGGCAGGGTCTGTCACAGTCTAAGTTGGCCTTTAAAGAAAGTTAGTAACTAATCCATCAATCCTGGTGTTCACAAAATGGGGCAACATGGTACTTTATTATTATGGACGCACTATTCTAAAGGCCAAATTCAGAAGTGTAAGTGATACAAATTAGGCTGCTTTGCTTGTGTTTGGGCTTGTAGCCTTTGGCTGAACAGACTTAAAGCAAGATGCAAAACAGAAACAGTTTCATTCCAATTTGTAAGAAAGCTTGGTTTATAAATATATAATATGGAGCCAGAAATTAAATAAAGTAAGAATTACTGTTTAAGTTAACCTTTTATCATTTTTTCATACTACTGCAGTGTTCTCATATAAGTTTTCCAGTTGTTTTAACTATTTCAGACTCCTTTTTGTTCCTTTGGACTTAAATTGGTATGTTTGAAGAGAATGTACAAAGGTATATGTTGTATATTGATTCTGAAGCTCAGTGAAATCAATGAAAGCCTTAATATACCAACTTCAAGAGGCTGGCATCAAGCAGTGGAAAAAGATATATTTAGAAGAGCCTTAGAAGAACATAAAGCATAACTAAGAAGAGTACAAAAATGTCTTAAAAGATATGTCAGTTCAGATTGTTTTGGATTAATCTTTGACTTTAGCTTTGGTACTTGAACCTTTTTTCAGCTAATAAGGTCCTGTGGGATGAAGAGGTATTGTTGTCTGATGCTAGAAGAAGTATTTGTGTTTGATGTTCTCTAGACATTGTCAGGCTGAAAAAGATACCACAGTTCCAGAAAGAGTATACTCTGACGACATGATGCTAGAGGAAAAAAAGTCAAAAAGTCCTTAATGAAGACATTGTGCCACATTTTACTTTCCTGAGCTTGGACTATGTGGAAGGCCTCAGCAGAGAGTCTTGTCTAATTATATCCTGGAAATCAGTCCTAGAAGCTTTCCCAGCCGCATGGAAAACCTACTTGAAGATAGAGAAATTGGCAGTGTGTGTTTTGTCCTTCAGAGCAAAACTCCTCCTGTTTTTCTTCAAATCCTTGTATTTCCCAGCTGCAGTGTACTTGTGGCTGTTTGCAAAGAGCCAGCTTGGCTTTACAATATTTGTTATCCACAGATACTGACAAGTTGTAACAGGATAAGGCTACTGCGGTGAAAAAGGAGCTGATTTGGTCTCCAAAGCCCGTTACCTAATGCTCAGTAAAAACTGAAATTGATATGGTTGTAGATGTATACAAAAGGAGAAAAACACTGGTTGTAGATGTATATAAAAGGAGAAAAACACTAACAACTGATAAAAATCATTCCACTTCATTTGCATGTGCCTCTTAATAGTGCTTCGTGTGTTTATGGTAAAAGCTCATCGCATCTTGTGTACTGCTTAGAGTGTAGCAGTTTGCAATGTCTATGCAAGTGCTTATTTCTCAAATGAAAAATGGAAAAGTGCCTAAAAAGAGGCAGTAGAAGATGGTCTTTAAATATAAAACCATCTGCTTTTGCAATTGTATTTTAATTTATGTGGCCAACATAGGTAAATTTAGTGTGAACTTAATACCTTGTCTTCTTCCAGATCTTCATTTTTGGCAGAGAGCTTTACGTTATCCAGATCATGTTGCAGTTAATGAAATATCTATGCTATTGACAGCATTCTGAAGTGAAACTTACTTCCAACCATCTAATGTTTCTTTTTTTTTCTTTACATCAGAACGCTAAAGTGAAAAATCCTTTTATTTTTAAACCATTTGATGTTAAATCCCTCCCCAAAGCCTTTTAATTCATGTTTTAATACTTCTCTCTAGAACACAAAAACCTTTTTAAAAAATGATGCCTTTTCTCCAGCAAAGACAAAGAAAACAGTTCCAAATCAGATTGAGCCTCTGCATTATGGGGACCATCAAATCCGTCACTCTAACAATTGCCTCAGCAGAGAAAATACATTAAGGTAGTTAGGATCATTTTTATTAGATTGAGGTCCTATATGTGGCACTCTAACTTTTTGAGGAACAGACAAAGGGCAATAATACATCTGAAGGTCATTGGAATCTCTCTAATAGACTGTGATACTCAGACCAATTGTTAAATAGAGGAAAAATTGAGTTCTGCAGTTAACTTGTGTCAGCACCCAAAGCAAGAAAAGAGTTTTCCTATGTTTCTGGTTAGAATCACTTCTGTAGGTTTTCTTGCAGCGCATATCTCAAGCGCTGCAACAGATTGTCGGTGTGTGTCCAGATTGCATTAACAACTCCCTTTTATAAAAGTTTATTCTGAAGTTATAAAGGTCACCCTAGTAATAGCATGACTGGTTGACATGACATATAACCATGACCTATTTTATAGTGCTCTTCAAAGATTTTTAATATTCATCAGAGAAAATATTGGAAGTGTGTACTTTATTTACTCAGTGAAAGCTTATAAAATAACTATATTAAAATTTTATATATGTCTACAATTTTAATTTATTACACCCTTTCTTGTCGTTTCTCAAATATATTGTGTTCTGAATGCTGTTGACAGAGTAACAATGGTTAATTATACCACAAGGCTTTGTTTATGGGCGAACCATTTCAAACGAAAAAGATATAAAGATTTTTTTCTCAAGTTTAGCTCTGAAACTAAATTTGACCTGGCTGTGTGAAGAAAACTTCTTTTATTTAACATGCCTAGGAAAGCAGCTCTCTGTCTCCTGAGAGATTAACACTGTAAGCAAGTTATGCAGGTGACTCAAATCCAGTTAATCTCACATAAAGAATGTTAATTGCATTGGCAATGGCATTCACTCTGATCACTTTATAGCCATATAATTAGCTATTGGACATATTCAAGGGGTTGTCTGAGTGGTACGAATACAGGAAACAACATGAGAGATAACTTGTTCTTTCCTCATTCACACTGGGCAAAATGTAGAGATGATGGAAAAATGGAAATAGCGGTTATTGGTATTTACATGTCCTTACTAACTGAGATCTGTACTTACATAGCTATTTATTTTCTAACAAAATCTAAACTGTTTTGGAAAATACACAATTTTGAGAAGCTGATCTGAAACAAACATGTATGTATACTCCTAAATTGCCTTGATGTGGAATCAAATGATTTACCTAATGACCTTTGGGCCATTTACTGTCTTGTCAGCTGGGTTCTTCTCAAAATGTGGTAGGAATTTATTTTCTCATCTCCTGTATAAGAAGCATTTACAGCCACAGGTAGCAATTTCATAAATACACATACATTAATTTCTTAGATGTTTACAGGCAGCTTTTTTAAACATGGTCTAAAATAATTTTTTGTATGCAGAGCAAGAGAACATATAGGCACATGCAGAGTTATTTAAATTCAAGGGTTTCTAAATCACCTATAAGGATGCTGATCTGGATCTAATTTTCTTGGTTTAGGATCATCGTTTGAAAAACAAATACCAAAATGTAGAGTGTATTGTGTATGAGGTCAGAGCAGGGGTTGGACTGAGCTCTTCTTAGAAGAGAAGTTGTGCATAAGATACTGTTGCAACTTACAGAAAGTTTCATTAAGATATTCTCTTCTAGATCCACATAATTACAGACAGGCCAAGTGCATTGCTTAGCATTAAGGTTAACAACTAATGCTTTTGTTACTTGGTCCAGTTCTAAGAAGTTTGTCAAACCAAAAGGCTTTATACAAATTTTCCATGCCTGATGTCTGCTTCAACTGATTTTTTTTTTTTTTTTTAATTGGGATAATTGGAGGGAAATGGTGAAGGATTTGAAGGAGAGGAATGGAGGAAGCTTTTTGTCCTGAGAAATGCAGGTCCCTCATATTGAATAACAGGCACATAAAATTTGTTGGGAAATAGTTACACTGTGCCAGAGATGTAATGTTTTGCTTGTCCCAATAATTTTCACCAAATGTAGCCAATTATGCACCTCTCTAAAAAAAAAAAAAAACCATACACCAGAGACACCAGGCAGAATGCAGGTCTGAACAGCGTTTTCCTGCAACTGCAGTTTAGTGCTACTGTCACTCTCCAGGGAGGCTACTTGGTTACTTGAACTGATTTTTCTTGTGTTACTATTGTGGATGGGCTGTAGCTGGGCGGCACAGAGAAGAGAAGCTCCAGTTCAAGTGTAGTTCAAACACAGAGTGGAGAAGAGTCAGTTTGCTGTGAGGCGTGGGTAGTTGGACGGGAGACTGGACTTGGACACTTTCTGGGTTCCAGCAACATTCTGGGCTAGGAGGAGACAAGCCGGTTACGGAAGAAGTCTGCAGCTGGGAAGAGCTGGCACAGCCAGTGGCTGGAACGGAGGGGGACTTGAGGCACCGTCACAGGCTGGCCAGGACTCATAGGTGAGGGCAGGAGCAAACCGAGCTGCAGGCAGGGAAGGGTCAGGAGACTACATGCACCGGGCAGGAAGAACCTGATGAAGCACGCTCAGGACAAGGAGCTGTGCTGAAGGTTGTACGCGGCTGGTACGCAGACCTGAAACAGGGGATAAAGACTGAGATTTCAACGTGCGGGGGGAGACTAGAACTGAATTTACTTGCCCAAATGCCGCTGGAACCTGCAGGTCCTGGTCAGGACTGGGAATGGGACAAAAGCGATGGCTTGGGAGAAATGCAGAGAAGAATCTCTGCCCATTAGGCACTGGAAAAGTGCTATAGATTCTTGAGTGTTTCTATTCTTCTGCTGACAAAATACGTTTTTCCTTGCCACTAGGTCCCCCTGCTAGTGTTATGGAATTCCTGTATGATGCTGTCACTCATTTACATAATTATTAACAGGTGGTTTTTGTGTTCCTTGTTCTCTGACTTAATATTCTCATTTGTAAAAGTGTTGAATATTTTACTGGCTGCAACTGAATTCAATAGAGCACAGAAATTTAATACTAAATTTAAAAAAAAAAAGTGGCAGTTTTGTGTCTCAAGTTGAGGATCAAAATTTAGCAGATATTTTTTACCTTGCTTTCTTTAGATCTCCATCACACTTCAGAGACGGGCTATAAACATAAGTGACTTGCTTATGAAGCATTAAGATGGGTGTAATGGAGGTCATGAGGAAATTAATAATTCTGTCACTGAAGTGAAGTTTGAGTAGTATGACAGGAGGCCACCCACTAAATGGTACAGCTAAAGCAAAATATTAAACACCTGCTCATTAAATGAATACCAACAACCTGGAGATGTTTGGGGGAAAAGTAGTATATGATCATATAATTGCAACCAGTCCCATAAGGCATAAACAGAAAGGGAGTGATTAAAGGGTACACAGACAGACTTCGTTCTGGCACTTCTGGCACTGAGGTTCTGTGTGCTTGATTTTGCAACCTTATTAATGTTCTTCTAATGTTTGGGGTTTTTTTTATTTGAATATAATAAACATGGACAGCCAACCCATAAACTCAGCTCTGTAGTTATCAAGACAAACTGCCTGAGTCAGAATCTGGTATTGCTTACATCTCTGTGAATTTTGAATAATTTTTTCAGTTACATCATACCCTTCAACTTGCTGAGAATGAAACGTGAAATGTAGTGTGTAACCAGTTTTAAATGTCTTTAAAACAAATCCCTGTCTTGAGTGGAAATACTGCTTCACATAAACCCAGTCTTATAATGGTTTGACTCCAGCTAAATAATCTCTGACAATAAAAGTGTGGTATGGCCAGGAGAGGACAGAACAAAATTTATGCAGTCCAAAGGCAACTTGGAAACTAACCCCAGTGATATCCTTTCAAATGAAATTACCGGTACTTTGGGTTTGTACCAGTATAACTGAGATCAGATTGTGGCTCTGCGTCTGGATTTTAAGCAGGCCTGTACAACATTATGGTGATTAATAATATTTGTAGTCGTGCAGGCTAACATAACAAGGGTAAACAGAACTTATTATTCAGACCTTAATTTAGTTTTCCGTGGTGAAGTTAGCGATGGGGATCAGGGAAGCTCTGACCTCTGTACGATAGTCCACAGTTGCCTGAGACGCATAACACGGAATTTACATTTTGCTCCGAAGCACCAAGATATTGATTATTGCCGAAGGCAGGCTGTCTCCGTGGGCAGCTCCTGCATCGCTACAGCAGGCAGGAGGTTTAGATCACGCTGGGTGTACGCGGTGGTGCAGAGCCAAAATGCTCCCACGAAAGGGCACGGTCTTGGAGACCTCTCCGCTGGCAGGGCAGGCGGGCAGTCAGTGCTAGCACAGGCTTCCTGCTGGTGGCACTCAGCTCTTGCGTGAGGGCCGGATGCGGCAGCCACCGCCTCTCCAGCCTGGCAGTCATCTTCCGGCTTCTTTGTGCACATCATCAGTTCTGCTTGTCTGAATTTGTGGAGCTCAGCCTCCCTTCTTCGTTCCGTGAATCGGTGAACAAAAAGATGCTGAAAAGCCAAAAGTGTTCATTTCAACCCTCTGACTCACTAAGGAATTTTAATGTCTCTTTCAAGAACGGCCCACGTTTCTCAGGCGACCGATTAACCAAGTGGTGCTGGAGGAGGAGGCCGTGGATTTCCGGTGCCAGGTGCAGGGGGATCCCACACCCACAGTCCGGTGGAAGAAGGATGATGCAGACTTACCGAGAGGAAGGTGAGAGCAACATTCATGTTCCCCACACTTTCACACTTCAGTTGTTGAGTAATGCTGGAATCACTCCCTACTATTATCGTTTGTTATTTGACGTTATGGGCAAGATTTATGTCCCATATTGCTGGTCTTTGGCACTACAAAACCTGTTCCAGAGCCAGCTGAGCAGGGAAGCCCATTCTGGGTTGAATTGTCCAAGGCAATGGATTCCCGTGTGTGATAAATGATTGAGTCCCAAACAGGATTCCAATTTAAGTTTACAATTTATTAAGCGAATAGAGGCAGGCAAACAGCGCTGGGTGCGCCGGAAAAAAAGTGATGCGTAGGTATTGTGAGCACATGGGTATTCATTGAATCGGCTGGAGAAAAATAAAGATGTTTTAGGAATGTATTAGTGATAGTAGCCTTCATAATAAGTGCTGATACCAAAAGGGAGTAAACTTGGCTAGAGACTTGCAGAGCTGCTCCGTCGCACTAGCAGGATGAATTAGCAAAGCGCTGTGGTGGGCTTTTCTGGCTTCTTGGCTTATTTTGGTAGAGTCTCGGAGAAAAACCTTCCTCTCGAGGAAACAAAGAACAAACTGGCAGAAGTGGAAAACAAAGTTGGAATTTGGAACAGGCCCTTTGTGTTCAAGAAAGATCCACTGAATCTGGAACAAACAGAGAAAATTCCAGAGTGATCAGGGGATGAGAGTCTGTCTTATAAAAGGACATTAAATTAGTTCAGCTCCTCCTCAGCTAACAGAAAAGAGTTTGGTCCTCGGTTTCTGGAACTTCCGAGTTTTGATGACGAATCATTATTAGATTACAAAATCTTAACACAGAAGTAGATCTGGAAACAGGAATGAGAACCCAGGTCTCCATAGCCCGGGAATCCTTCTGGCCCTATGACTCCTGATACATTTTTGCAGTGCTTTTAAGTTCAACAGCAGATATGAATAGGGCTTTTTTTTTCCCTACCACAGTTGATTGTTCTTTTCTATCAGTGTTGGTTATTCCTGGGATGTTGCTGATGGAATTTGAAGAAAGGCAAAAAATAATCTAGACCTTCTGTTCTTCAGACAAGTGCTTTAAACACTGGACTTATTGTAGGCTGGCTGCCAGTGTTATTTCTGCCCCTCCAATCCTTAAAAAAGAGCAGCTGCAGTGGTGACTGCAGCTAGTTTGTGCCAATTTATACTAAGTGCTCTGTGACCATACTACTAGACTGGGTCTAACTAAAACAAGTTAGACATTGCTGTCTGCTTTCTTTATCACAGCATGTCTTACACCTTCATCCCAACAAGGTGAAAAATGTGGTAGGGCTGTTATCTGGCAGTCTTCGTCCACTTGCTAAATATGGCGCTTAGTGTTGCATATACTTTCATGAAAACTGGTTGGAAAATTCCTCAGAGTCACACAGCACTTAGTCATGTTTCCATCTTGGGTTAATAGCTTTTGTTTCTCAATTTCTAAATCTTTAAGAAAATCCCAAAACTCAAATTGGATAATACCTCCTTTAGTTTCCACACCCTCAACTCTGTAAGATGTCTTACATGAGCATGCAATTCTGCAGCTAAATGTATTAATGTAATGATACATAATCTAGAAAAAACGTTTCTATGTAAGTAGGGATACATATGTATATATATAGGAATGCATTTTATAATTGATTTCCTTGCAATTTAAAACAAATTTAAAAATGACATAGCTTTTTTGCTAATAATATTGATAGATGTGTATGCATGTAATACATAAAATAATATTTTGAAGAGCAAACTTTTGGATGACAGGATGAATTTTTCTCTTTGCTTGCTTTTGAACTATACATTGTAGAGTAGTCCATAGTAAATACATTGTGCTTCTGTGATTTATTCTTACTGTTGTTCTGCTTCTGTTGTTTTAAATCATGTCCATTTCTAGGTCTCATAAGCAGAAGTAATAGATGATGAACCAACAGTGCCTTTGATTAGGTTGCACTTTTATTAGCGTTTTTTTAATGACTATGTTTCTTCTTTTTCTTTTATATCTTACTGTGAAACACATAGTAATATGTGCTTTGAGGTCATTTTTTCTGTTCACTCATGATATATTTCTAAGGAAGAAGAAATGAAACAGGAAGCACAGGAAGAGCTTTCACTGGGCTTTTAACTAAAAGAAGAGAAGGTTAGTCAGGTACATTCTGATCATAATCAACTTCAGGCTCAGAAACTACTCACAATGTTTTGCAGTGTTTTTATATTGCTGTTTAACATTTCATTAAGTGTGTTTTGGCATCTTAAAATAGAAAGTAGCAGTACGTCTTCATTTACGTCAGCTTCCCAGAACATCACAGGGATGGATGAGGAAGGGGCAAGGTTGCAGAATTCCATGCTGGAGACCCCCTTGGGTGATAGAGGACTACCACTGCCACTGCCCACGTAGTGGGTTACCACTGCCGGAGCCATGTGGATTGTGGTCATCTAGTAGAGTCCAACATACACACTTCAAAAGCAAATACCTCTGATGATCAGGACTGTATGTTTTCATCTCCAAAATGTATCATTTGTATAGCAAGATACATAAGCAGAGGCTTCACTGTCCAAAAGGTGGAAATTTCCAAACCATACTGCATGATGCTTAATCAAGGAAGATAAACTTGGAATGTCTGGAAGAAAAGCTATTGTTTTTCCTGGATTTTTTAATGCAAGCAAAGAACTTTGCCCAAGTATAGTGTGATGGATGGATGAATGGATTAAAAAATTATAATATAGCAATTTTATAAATTAAGAAGAAAATTTCCAAGTTTTTCCTTCTTGATGAAATTAAAGATTTTTTTTTCTTTTTGAGATAAAACCAAAATTAGCTTTCAGCTTCTGAGCTCCTGTATTTTAAGCATTCTAACATCTACAGTGAAATATGAAACCCTCAAGGAATTCCCTTTGTTATTCTTCCTACATACATAAATCCTTCTTCTGAGCAGATCTGTGCAGCTATTTGTCTTACAACTTTCAATATCAATTTCCTGTTTTTACTGCTAACGACCTTCTTTGCACATCTGTCTGGTTTTGTTTTTTCAATAATTTCCTTTTGACTTCACCTCTAGATTACAAAACAATTATAGTAGGTACCTGCTTCAACAATTATTGCAAATTTTTTAATTTGTCTCTTGTTAGTTCAGCTTTCAGAACTGTCTAGTTCAGTGATAGCAAAGTGGAATAAACTGAACTTTTCTATGCATTTTGTTCTGTAATTTGTTCCTGATAAATGCCAGAATCAGTGATAGTGGATCCATAGTCTTTCAGCAATCCTTCTCTGGTCTTCCATTTTACTTCCTTTTAGCTTTTTTTAGTGACACATGTGAAAGCAAAGAGAAAAGTAATCACTGTAATTTCTAGTGACAAATATAAACAGTATCGCTCCACCAATTGGTGCATTGAGTAATAATTGGAAAATAATTTCAGGCTATTACAGTTTTAATTATAAAGGTCCCTGGTGAACTGTAAACATCTCCAGTTGCAATTGAATTGAATGAGAAAAAAAAAAGACTTCTAAAGAAACTAGCATGTTTGAAAATAAGACTATTTAAAAAAATTTAATTTAGCCATTTTGTTGAATTGTCTATGTAATTACACAGATATGTATGAGTAGCCGTGATATAAAACTGAGAACAGATGGACATAAGTTTTTTCTGAGGGTACAAGGCTTTGTTGCAAATCTTAACTATTTTGAATTTATGATCTAAAACAATTATGATAGTCTATATTTTGATTTAAAACCCTTAAAGTGGTTCTTATAGTGGAAGTTTTCAAAGTGCCTATGAAGAATAGGTCTCTCTAACAGTCAAAGGATGTTACTTTTCCTAAACCCTGTAGACCTGACTTGAGATATCAAATACCTTGGTACATGTGGTGGAGCTCTTCTGTGTGTGCTTGGGCAGGAATTACAAAAGCTATAAGAAGGACCAGGTAGAAACAGTGTTGTGGGTTTTGTATGTTAACTGTTTTCATAGTTCTTTTACATTGTTGGGATAATGAATTAACTGATTCTTCAGAATTGAAAATTCTATTTAGAGCATAAACCAATCCCAGCAAATTAATAATTTGCTGTTAAAAATGTTGATACTGCATCAACAGGGAGAAACAAAGAAACAATGCGAAGTCTGGGGTGCGTAAAGATTTTTTCCAGAAGCTGTCCATTTTGAATCAGTGACCCAAGACTGAAATGCATTGTGAATCAAGGATAGAGGTGCATGGTGTATATTTTATTTTAATTGCTCTAAAAATTCAGCATCGCACCATAGCTTCCACAGTACACAAAGGCTAGGGAATAGTTAATCAAGTATGACTCATGTCAAACTACTGGAGGTGAACAGGATACTGTGGGGTCACCAGTCCTATGCCTTTGGCTGAGATACTAAGTTCGCTGTTTCATGAACAGAGGTTTTTTTCATAAGTGACACAAGGAAATGGCACAAAAATTGTACAAAAGTGACTCAGATAATTGTGGCCATGCAGAATGACCAGGACCTATTGAAAAATGAAATTAAAATTGTCTTTTTACATTGAAGTCTTTTTCCAGCCACACGTTGGGGTAGGTTCCCCTTCGTCTGCTTGGCAGAAATAGAGATTATACTTTCCTGCTAAGGCGCTGATGGTCTCCTGTGTGGTGAGGAGCTCAATATGGCCAGGGTCAGCTTTTGTTTCATCTGCTTTTTAGTCCTGGTAACAGGAGGAAAGACATATTATTTGAGAGCCTCCAATATGAGAGTGGCACATCTATGACTAGCAATTTAATAAAATTTGAATAAGGTTTGTACAGTGTTTCATGTCTTCAAATTTTCTAGCGAAGCCGAAGAGAGCAGCTGCATGGTCTGTAATTACATAGCAAGTAATACAGATTCTTTGATTCTTTTTTTTTTTTTTTGAGGAAGTGAAGAGTTTTTCAATTACAAGTTAAAATTTATGACACATTATAATAACTGTTTAAACCTTTTACACAGAAGAAGCTAGCAGTGTCTGCTCTTTGGGAGAGTGAGGTTAGCT